CCTTAGAGGCCTGGATAGCTTTGTCATGCATAGGGGTTTTTTTTGGGGGGGGGGAGAAATGTTCCTTGCCCTCCGGGCCTGTTAGTATTGGCTTGTTAGCTATGTTTAAAAAACAAAAACAAAAAAACCCACAGTGGTTTTTAAATGTAAGTTATGGAAACTTTTTGCTGTTTTATGAATTTTTGATGTTGATTGAAAAGTCAATCTGTTGTAAACCACTTTGATTTTCTTTTTGTAATAAAAGCAGCCTGGCTATTTAGTAATAAATAAGGAAGTTCAGGAAAACTGGCAGGTGAACACACTCAAAAGGAGGGTCAAGAAGGTTTGCTAATAGGAAAGTTGCATCTCTAATGGCACACGACCCAAAAGAAGGTCACCTCTGGGAGCATGTGACTCAAAGGGGTTACAGTTTACTTATTATATTCTACTGTTTATAAGTTTCCTCATTTACTATATATTTAATACTTATTTTGTTGCAGTGTTATTGTTGTTGTTATGACGACGACGATGATGTAATGTCTACGGTTCCCTATGTTTCTGGAATATAAAACATCTTTGCACGGTGTGTTTATTAACACTGCAGTCATTACGGACTCCAGCTAACTTCCTGTATATTTCTACCCTGGTGCTGAAAACCAAGCTCCATAAACAAATCCTGTTTCTGAAATGTTAAACTGGAATATTATTTATTTTATTTATCATATGGCAGAATTACACACAGGACTTGTGTACTACTGTGTACACACAGTAACCAAGTTGATACAATGGGTATACAGACAGATTGAACTATCCCACTTTCAATCCACTCAATCTCAGCTGGGGAGCTCTGTCACATCACCCTGGAAAGCACGGCGCTCACATTCCTGTGACAGATGGAAAATACTTTGGCGGGCTGCACCGCAATTGCATTCAGGTCCTGCTATTTTGTCCCATTTAAACAAGAGGTTGTACATCTGTCAAAGCCTGTTCATATTCTGTTAGCCATCTTCCATGCTTTACGTGACAAATCAAATCCTGTGGGTCCCTCATTGGTGTTTGTCATGTTAGGGGTATTGAGTGGAAGTGATTGCATCTGTGCTTGCGATCATTCATTCCTTGGCTCAGAATTTTGTGATAGCAGGATTTGTGCAGATCTTATTGCTGGGTGGTTGGAACCTTAGTCTGGATAGGCCAACATCAGCCATGTCTTTGTGAATGGGCAGGTCTCTGTTTTTCATGAGCTTTTGATGAGAGCCAGTTTGGTGTAGTGGTTAAGTGCACGGACTCTAATCTGGGAGGACCGGTTTGATTCCCCACTCCTCCACTTGCACCTGGCTGGATGACCTTGGGCAAGCCATAACTCTGGCACAGCTGTTCTTGAAAAAGAGCAGTTTCTGTCAAGAGTTCTCTCAGCCCCACCCACCTCACAGGGTGTCTGTTGTGGGGAGGGGAAGGGAAAGGAGTTTGTAAGCCGCTCTGAGACACCTTTGGGTAGTGAAGAGTGGGGTATAAATCCAATCTCTTCTTCTTCTTCTTCTTCTTTCTATATTCATGAAGGAGAGCATCTTGTCTTCGGAGAAGCGGGGGAGCAATATGGCACAACGTAGGTACCGTGTTTTCCCGAAAGTAAGACATCCCCCGAAAATAAGACCTACTTACAGTTTTGCCTCTCGCTGAAATATAAGATATCCCCTGAAAATAAGACCTAGCGCATCTTTGGGAGCAAAAATTAATATAAGACACTATCTTATTTTCAGGGAAACACGGTAGCTACTGTTTTTATTGTTTGAACAGTGTAGGTAGCCAATAGGTCAGAGTGGGTTAATACATCCACTGATGGTTCTCATTGTTGTATTAAGTTGAACACCAAACTTGTGGACATGGGGGCTGTTGAGCCACACTGAAGCACAGTACTATATACCATCCTCAAAGCTGAGCATCTAAGTGTCGTAGCACACTCACCCCAAGTTGTACCCCATAAGTTTTGGAAGATGTTATTTCACGTCCATATTTTCGCTGCTACATTGGTAAGATGGTGTTTATAGCTCAAGGCCCTGTCCAGGGTAATGCCAAGGTACTTAAGTGTAGGGTTGTGTATGAAAGTCAGGTGCCATTAAGGTAGACATTCCGTTCACAGTTGGCAAGATGGTTATTGAGATGGAAACAGGAGCGTTCTGTTTTTCCTGGACTTTTAAAAAAAATCCAAATAACTGACTGATCTGGGATCACTGGGAAGCATCTGTGGGTTGGCTTGTGCCGAAGTCAGCTTTGTGGTGGTATCTTAAGACATTTGGGTGAAAGAGCTTGGAGGGAGAGGGGCTGCCCATATGATTCCTGTTCTGCAGGGAAGAGAGTTTAGCTGTGTTGGTCTGCAGTAGAACAGCTAAGTTCAAGTCCAGTAGCAACTTGGGGACCAACAAGACTTTGGGCTATACGCTTTCAAGAGTCAAAGCTTTGATTCTCGAAATCTCATACCCCCAAAATCTTGTTGGTCTCTAGGGTGCTACTGGACTCGAATCTAGTTGCTCTTCTACAATAGTTGATGGTGTCACATTGGGTCAGTTAGGTCACAGAAATGCTGGTTTGAGAGTATTGCCTGTAAAAGTGGCAACACGTTGACTGTTTATAATACTATTTCAGTCCAAGCCACCATTATACTAAAAGTAGCATTTTAATGAGTGCAAGTGGATCGGGGCTCCCGTAAGCGGGTAAACCCCTGTCCCCATCGGGGGAATGGCAACCCCAGTTAAACAGGGTCAGCCACGGCTAGTACTTGGGTGGGATACCACCAAGGAAGTCCAGTGTTGCCATGCAGAGGATAGGAATGACCAAGAACCTCTGTTTATGGTCCTGGGGTCACCATGAGTTGGTTGTAGCAATGACCAAGAACCTCTGTTTATGTGTCCTGGGGTCACCATGAGTTGGTTGTGACTTCACAGTACAAAATTATTATTATTATTATTATTATTGTTGTTGTTGTTGTTGTTATTGGTTTAGGCCTCATGTGATGTGATATGCTATGCATGATAAACAAATAAGTCCAATACTTGGAAAAACCCTAAGTTTTGGAAGCATCCTTAGATCCAAGTGCTTGCTTTTCCCATCAGTGTTCTTCTTTGCTCTAGGGGACTGCCCTTGAAAGTAGACTTCTGGCTGAGCTGTTCTGTGATTTCGCAGCATTTCTCCAAACCGAGAGGTCAAAACCATTCTTCCTTCTTTCTCTCAACTGTCTTTGTTCTTCCAAAGTGAAGCTGAAAGTTTGGCTGGTTAATAAAGACTTGGCTTTCTCCCCTAGCTCTAACTTCTTTTGAAAGAGAAACTATAACTTTGCGAATGTGTGTACGCAATGCGCAGTCTACTAGGCGAGCTGTGCGTCGGACAACAGGGTCATGCGCTTAAGGACTCTTCCCACCTCTCCTCTAACACGCTGCCCTGGGATGGTGATTCTGATTATTAGAACCACTCGGTGGGACAGTTCCAGCTCTGGCTGTGCTTCTGTCTGAAAAACTGCGACGATCCTTTCCTCCCCTCCTCTGCTGCTCCGCTCATCGAGACTGCACGAGGCTTGAACTCTTCTCCCCCCCCCTTCCTCTTCTTTTGAAAAGAAAACTCCGAAGCTGCTTTCTGGAGAGAGACAAATGGAATTGGACTAGCATCCCCCTTCCAGCTGCTTTCCTAGGAAGCAATGAAACAGCATGGCAGATGGTAACACTATTTTTTTCATTCCAAGAACGCAGCAGCAGCAGCAGCCCTGCGACTGAACAACAAAGACAGAGAATGGCTAGGCGGATAGAAACAAACGGCATTATAAATCACCGTGGAGTCTCGGCCCCCTTTTGCTGCGCTTCCTTTTCTTCTCCCCGTTCTGAATTACGCTGCGCTGTCTTCCTGTATGATGCATCGGCTTGCTCTCTTCTGAGAATGATCCTAAAAACAAAAGGCCAAGGGCTCTCATTGGAATAGTCAATCGGAGTTGCATGCAACTTGGCTGCTTTTGAGGTCACTTTAAAGTATTCTCCAGGCCCTTGTGCTCTGCTTGGCTGTGCGGCTCGTCTTCAAAAATGGCTTCCCCGACTCTTGGTCAAATGGACAATTCCAGCATCTGTCTTTGGGTCATTCCCCCCCCCTCAGATGCCACAGTGACTATGTGCATTAAAAGTAATTGGAGATGTTCATAGCAACGGGCGATGAAGGCTGAAGTCCATATGCTGCAGGCAGCAGTAATAGGATTCCTTCTCCTTTGAAAATATGTTTTGCATTAAGGACCAATCTGAGAATGGGGTAGTCTAACTTCTGCCAAGATTGCTGGATAGAAATATTTTTTCCCATCTGAGCGTTTAAAATTATTATTCTTCTTCTTCTTCTTCTTCTTCTTCTTCTTATTATTATTATTATTATTATTATTATTATTATTATTATTATTATTATTATCCTCTTGCTACATGGGACTGGCATGTAGCTAAGTTACCTGGCAATGAAATGTTTAACAGCTTCTTGAACTCGTGAAGGTATTTGCAATAAACATATTGGAATCGTGAGCCATCAGCTTTCATTTCTGAAGTCATATGTATAATTCATTTTATTCAGCGGTTCCCTTCCCAAAGAGAAGAATGTTATGTTGGAGAGAGGAAAGAGCCCTTCCTGCAGTGGAAAGGGCCTTTCTCCTTCCTCCGGAAAGACCCTCCCCCTAGTGGAAGATAAACATTGAATCCAACCTCACTGCTTGTGGAGTGCCCCTCTAAAAACAACTTAAAAACCAGATTTACTGCTTTATAGTTGAAAATTGATCTCATCACCTTGAGGGTGTTTTCTTAGGTTCTCTAGTACTATTCTTACCAATATCTACCTCCTTACTTTCAATGTTCACCGTAAATAGCCTTTTGAAAACACCCCCTTCCTCCTGGAGTTAACCAAGACTTGGTTTACAGATTCCTAGATCCGCTGACACAGGTAGTTTACCTATCTGATGTTGGCTAAGTCAAGCCTTTTCTGAGTCCAGGCATCTCTCTCCGCCAGTACAGGAGAGTAATTATGGCTCCTCTCTTACTGCTCCGTCTAAAAGACCTAAGAGAAAGATCACTCCTAAGAGGAGACAGAAAAGACGTGTTGATCCTTCAAAGAAAAGAAGAAAAGTACACAGAGCGGAACTATACTCTGCGGAATCCCGTCGGAACAAAGTAAGTTTCCATAACTGTCACATTTGAAGCCATTTTTTGCAATTTTGAAGAAGACAATCCCAAAGTGGAGCTTTTAATGTAGCCATTTTGCAAATTACATCCATAGACTGCTACAAGTTAAGCGACTAGGACAACCTGAGATTCTTTTTGGGAGTTGTGCTACCTCTGTATCCATTTGCTCTAGCAAAATCCTTCTTCTTAAAAAAAATTATCTCAGCAAGGGCATTGAATGCTACTGCAAAAGTCCATCATGTTCTTCATCCACAGGTGGAAAAATGTAATCTGTGCAATCAGACATTTTCCCATGGGGAATATACTTTCTAATATCTAGAAGTGTCTGAAAAATCACTGGGTCATTTACTTATTAAGAACAACCTTGTGCTGTGTTATGAACTTCCTTCTGGAACATTAAATTCAAAGCTGTTTTTGCAAGTATTGGTCTGTAAGTCTTTGATTTCATGGCCAACAACTTTATAATAATGGCAGCGGCTGTTTTGGAAAACCAATCTTCCTTGGGACGTCACGGAAGTTTTAAGACACTGAAAACCAGCAAGTAATATTATGAATGGTTTACACCAGGAATCTGTTTATTCAAGCAGTTGCACGCTACCGATTTTACAGGCTGCTGTGCAAGAACATAGTTTTGGGGCGTAACACATCCATGAGAAGTCTTCATTCAAACATGAGGATTGATATAAGCTTCAGAACTGGTAGGAAAAGGGGTAGAATAATTTCAGTAAGGGTGTTAAAGCTTGGCAAAGGTTGGCCAGCTGAGGACTTTCAGAAATAGACATTTGTGTCTCTGTGTTTTCTTTCCTACAGTATCACAAATATCTCTCCAGATACTCTAGTGAATTTGAACATATCATGTAACTGAATATGACTTTTCATCACAGCAGAAAATACAGCACTCCCCCCCGGTAAATCTACTACTTCCACAAAAAACAAATAAGCAAAACAAGCCCAAACCACTCATTTGAAATTCATGAGTACTCTCTGTTCAGACTCCCAAGTTTCAGTCTTGTGCATTGAAAGTCGCTGGGAGAGGGGATAGTTTCTGTATCACAGTTTACTACTAGGTAGGCAAATACAGTAATTGGTAGGAAGCATCTGTCCGGTGAATCATGTTTCATTCCTAAATAGGTGACTCTTCATGTTTATCAGACATCTACTTGTTAGGCAAAGAGTGGGTGATTTGTAGGTGGTATGGTCCTACCCTTTTCAGGATTAGTCGATAACAGAGTTCCAGCACATGAATGTAGATCTAAGTTCTGGCCAAAAGATTTCCCACCTGGATCTTTGTGATGGTTAGTTCAGTGCCATAGATTAAGTTGCTCATATCTGTCTCATCTTCTGTTAAAGTAGGGCTGTCAGCCAATTCTTATGTTGTTTAGCTTGAGGAATGATTAAACAGGCTAATGGTCTTATTTAAACAGGCTAACAATCTTATTTAAACTTCAGAAGCCTTGTTTAATACAGTCCAGATGCCTTTATTTATTTTTATTTATTTGGGTTTATATCCCGCCCTCCCCTTAACGGGCTCAGGGCGGGTTCCAGCGATATAAAACACAATGCAATTAAAACCACATTAAAACAGAATATAAAATAACATAACTCATATGTGCCATACAACTCTAGGAAAAAACCGGATACCTCAGTGGTTGATGGTATTAGAATTTAAGTTTTTTTGAGATGCTCTGTCTTCTTGGTGCTTGGGGGGGGCCAACAATGGGAGGGCTTCTAATGTCGTGGCCCCACTGGTGGACCTCCTGATGGCACCTGGTATTTTTGGCCACTGTGTGACAGAGTGTTGGACTAGATGGGCCTTTGGCCTGATCCAACATTGGCGTCTCTTATGTTCTTAGTTCTTATTTTCACGATTTCGGATCTCAGGACCCAGGCTACAGATTGGGGTCGACTTAAGGGGGGGGACGCTGTCTCAACCAAAAGCCCGGCGGAAGAGCTCCGTCTTGCAGACCCTGCGGAATTGTAGTAAATCCCACAGGGCCCTGATCTTGCAGGGGAGCACATTCCACCAGGCAGGGGGCAGGGCCGAAACAGTTTGTTCATACTATCATATAAACTGATTTGGGTTTCCATATGTTCATCTTCATACTGTGAGATCAGCCACTTAACACTGTGTTCTGAATCTGAATTACTATTTCAAGTTTGTTTATACTAAGTTTGGCTGTGTTCAGATGATGACAATGGAAAGGCTAAGTTAGACGTGTCCTACTCACTAGAGAAGCATGGTCCTCCTTCACCTTGCCACCCACTTTTTATTTGGTAAGGTAAGGTTGACTGAACTGCCTGAGTTAACTGGAGTCGCTGCTGGAGAGGAACTGATGTAGTCCTTCTGGCCTGACTCATGAGTAGGGTTGCCAAGCGATTCTTCACCGGGAGCAGGGGGCTCCCGGCGTGCGCGTCACCCAGAAGTGACGCAGGCACGCTGGGCACACTGGGGGCGGGGCCACAGCCATACAAGGGAAAACTCTATGGTTTTCCCTTGTATGGCCGTGGGAGCATGGGGGGGGTGTTGTTACAGAGCGGGGAGCCAGGGGGTCAGGGCTGCAGCAGTCAGAAAGGAATGTTTCCCCTGTTTTTAACCCCATGCTACAAGCTACATTTTCATGAAGAGAAGAGACACGGCTCAGTGGTAGAGCATCTGCTTTGCATGCAGAAGATCCCAGGTTCAGTCTGGTATCCCTAGTGAAAAGGGGTCAGGTAGGAGGTGGTGTGAAAGACCTCTGCCTGAGACCCCCTAAGATCTGTTGTCAATCAGAACAGACAGTGATGACTTTGATAGGGTCTGACTCAGTGTAATACAGCTTCATATTTTCATGGTTAAAGTGTCGGATTAGGACTGGGCAGAACCTGGTTCGGATCCCTGCTTAGTTATAAATTTGCTGGTAACCTTGGGCTGATCACTCTCTGGCCAACCTGCCTCACCTAGATTAGTGAAGGTTGTTGTGAGGATAAAATGTGGATGGAGCAGCCAGATAGACCTCTCTAAGCTCAATGAATAGGTTGCCAGATGTCTTCTTTTGGAGGACATGTCCTCTTTTTTCGATGTCCGTCCTCTTTTGGGCTCTTTGTAAAAAAGCTGATGAAAATGTCCTCTTCTTGGGTTGGAAGGTTAAGAATATTCCTAGTTAGTAGCAATGATCACAGCTCAAATAGCAGGGGTATTTAAAATGAGATTTGTCAGAGTGATGATCACTAATTTGAGTTAAGTCAGTTGGGAAATATGTCCTCTTTTTTGCTTTTCGAAATATGATAACCCTATCACTGAAGGAAACATCAGGTAAAAACGTTATATATTTCCACTGTGGTAAGAAAACTCCTTATGCAAATTGTCCCACCCCTTTGCATATTAGGCCACACACCTCTAATGTAGCCACTCCTCCAAGAGCTTACAGAGCTCTTCTTACAGGGGCTACTGTAAGCTCTTGGAGGATTGGCTACATTAGGGGGTGTGTCACCTAATATGCAGAGGAGTTCCTGCTACAAAACGAGCCCTGGGGGGAAAGGACTAAGCTCCTCCCCAAAGCTGCACTTCCAATCAGGTTCAAGCTTCCTCGCTCCCTGTGCTATTTCCCTTCAAACCTCTAGGTAGCCCTAAGATGTAGAAACTGCATGGATGGCTAATTTTCATTGTGTTAAAATATGTGCCTGTATAGATGTCACATCCACTGAGAGACATCGACAAGATCCTGGGCCAGTTAATGGATGGACTGAAGCAACTGAACCTACATCGATGTGTCAACATCATCTTCGTGGGTGACCATGGTAATTAAAAACACCACCAACAACGCTTTAGTTCAGATGTTAAGATTTTGGTTCGCTTCGGCTGTGCATGTACTAAAAATTGGAACAATTTCGGGGTAAGGGTTTGAAAACAAAGTTTGAGTCCAGTGGCACCTTTAAGACCAACAAAGTTTAATCCTGGGTATAAGCTTTTGTGCGCACACGCGGTTCTTCAGTTTGTTTCTTTAAAGTTCCAGTCCAGAAAAAAAACACCCACATACCCATGAGGGTGTAAATGTGTGAGAAAATCACTTAACTGGATTTGCAGTGTCTTCCAGTGAGATTCTTCACATCCTTAATATTAAGTATTGAGACGAGGCAGCTCTTTTCATAATAACATGCTTCTTTATTGAACTTCTGAACCAAAGACACAGGCTCAACAGGAGCCAACTTATTCTTGTAAAAACTACACCCATCTTTAACAACAACCAATACAAAGTAGGCAGCTAGGATCCTTCATTTGCATGAACTATATACAAAGTTACAGCTATTGGATATAAGACAACAAATATGATTGGCCATTACCAGCAGCACAACCAATAGCCTTGAAGGCCTTTGGAGCCTTCACTCAGACTCAAGCTCCAGCAGTACATAACACTTAACATCTACATTTTATTTAAGAACAAAACTAAGGACCAAACCACACAATTCTTTTGACCACAAGGCAGGTCAGGGTTTCCTTGACTGAACTGGCTTTCCCTGAAGCCACACAGCAGGTGCTGGAAACTTACTCACCCGAGTGCTGTAGGACCTCATTCAGATAAGGACCAAAGTGCTGGAGAGAAGGCACTTCACCTTTCCTGCCGTGTCTTTTTCGCAAGCTGAGGTGGCCCCATTGGGCACATTTTGTTCTACTGCAGGGCTTTGTGTGGAGCAAATAATGCATCCTGGATAGGGCTGCCAAGTGGGGGCGGGTGGTGGGTAACCCCCCGCTTCGGAGGCCCGATTTCCACCGCCGCGGAATCGGGCCCCGAGGGGAACTCCGTCCCCCGAAGCGCAACCACGTCAATCATATTGGGGGCGTGGCCCCAATCGTTGGAGGGAAAACTCTATGGTTTTCCTTCAACATGATCGACGTCGCGCGTCACATCAACGGACGGCTCCCGGAGCCCAGCGAGGCTCCCCTGCCGGTAAGAAAAATTGACTTGGCAACCCTAATCCTGGAGCTGCATTGGCTCAAGAAATGCCATGGGGGGGGAATCTGGAGCCCCTCCCTCCTGCACCACGGTCCCAATCTGAACTGGGCCTTGTGACGCTTGTGTACGTATCTGTCGTGCCCCAGTGGTCTGAGTTCCATTCCCCCCTCCCCTTGCCCTGTGTTTCTTTGATACCGGAGAAAGTCCAGTCCTGTTGGTCTGAGCTGCTTCCAAAATGGATTTTCTGTCATCTAGTCACTCTGTTGCGCACCCAAGCCACCTCACTGATCTCTTGTTTTCCAGCCGCCATCCCCCCCCCCAGTTAGCGAGGATAACATTAAACTCTCAAAGAAAGACATCCCTGTTCTGCAGCTTTTAAATATTGTTTGGGGAAGAGGTAAATTGAAAAGATTAGAGGGAGGATGGCAGTAAACTCCATATCCCAGCAGTCTCTTCACCGCTTGTGCGCTTGCCCTGTGGACTTAACTTTGAAAAGAAAATGGCCAACAGCGCCATGAACTCCATATCCCAGCATGCTCATGAATGCTTGTGGGCATGCTCAAAGGACACACTTTTGAAAAAATGGCTGACAGGCTGACTCCTTGCTTACTGCCATCTGATCACGCAAGGAGAGGTAAAAGCACATTGAAGCGTGCTAAAAGGAGTGAGTCTGGTCAGGATTCTCTGCCACAAAATAACCTGGCTTAATTTGTGGCGGGGCAACAGCGGATTCAACTGCCCATCTGATTGCGACCTGAGTTGAGTAAGAGAACCCCAACCCGCCTCATGATCAAATGTATTGTATAGTTTCACCCTAGGATATAAACGTTTTTGTAAAATGAATAGAAGTGTAAAGATTTGAAGGGAGGAAGAAGATGAGATAACAAGTGTGCTTTCTTGAAAGCTTTCTATCATTTGCCCAAGTATTTAAACCTTTTAAAGGTCTTTAAAGGTGATCGTGCTTATCAATTAGACTCTGGCTTTAATGATGGAGGCCAAAATTGTGCTGACAGGTCAAAACACTTTGGTGATAAGTGCACTTTAGTCTATTCTTAAACCTCTCCCACCCACAGGAGGAAGAAATTTCAGATTTCACAATATGGAAGACTTTATAGTTCTTACCAACCAGTTGGCTGAGCCATCATGAGATATAAGACTCCACAGCTGCACTCAGATGCCATGGTAAACCACATCTTATAGACCATGGTCTGATGTTTTAATCCAGGTTTGCTAAGAAATTGTGGTTTATCGGTGGGCACTAATCTCGTATTTTAAATCATGTTTTATACCTGGCTTGTTAACCATGGTTTTTACAAACTGTGGTTTGTCGTAATGTCTGGATGCAGAATCCCATTTAGTTCAGCAGCAGGATTCCTCTTAGCTACCTGTATATATAGGTGGAAGCACACACCAATAGAAAAACAGGCTTTGTTAGCAGCAATCACCTATTTGTGGTGTTTTCTAAGGATATTCTCTCTCTCCATGCACCCTCTTCTCTCTGTTACTGATGACTCAAAAAACAAGCTAAAGAGGAGAGCTATAAAAGTTCTGTTTGTTTCAGAGTAAACAAAAACACATCACAAGAAGACCTCACTGGAAAAGACAGGAATGTTACAAAAAGTTGAAGGCAGTAGAAAAAGACATGACCCAACATGAGATGGACTAACTCAATGAATCAAGCCATTTTCCTCGTTTTGCAAGACCTGAGCGAGGCTGTTAATGATAGGATGTTTTGGAGGTCATTATTTCATAGGGTCACCATAAGCAGGAAGTGACCATGCTTGGGGTAGTTTCTTGGAATTCTTCTTGGAAGTGGAAAAGGGTTTTTACTAACAAACTGCTGTCTATATATGTTTCTGCTAGAGTTACTATCCCCCATTTCCCAGCAGGGGTTTCCCC